TTTGGTAATGACACCGGTGCACTCTTTCGATCGTAACTTCTGCACCGGTGGTCCAAATTTATTGATCTTTAGCTTGTTGAAAAGCTCTCGACGAGCCGCTTCCAACAAGCTATAGATCGCCTAATTCTGTGCGGTGGTTGAGGAATTGCGATCTTTCAAAGATCGCGAATTTTTTAAAAGCTCCAAAAAACCACCCGCGCTCGTTTTTTCAACGAGCGCTATTACTCTAGGCAATGGCTGATGCTGCGCCTTATCTCGTTGGAAGCGGCTTTCAAAAAGCTTTCCAACAAGACCTCTTTTGCCAAATTTCACCCAGCAGGTGAAAAGTTATTGGCAAAAGAGTTTTTGCCCTCTACATCTCCTCTCTTGACCCGTGGCCATCTTCAAAAGTGCCACGTGGCAGTTTGCTGAGGATTTTTTTTTTTTGAAGACCCCCCTGGCTAGGGGGCTGCACTACAATGAAACTGGGCGGCTGATCAAGATCTCAGCCAACCCCAGATAATGTGCAGCAGCAGTTCATCACCACCTTGAAGACCCCTTCTCCCAAGGGGTGTGTGAAGGYCAAGATCTTGTGGATCTTGGTGAAGTTGTATGCTCTTGGTTACCCAAGAGCTGGGTATCACCTCTCTCATCCCTAATCCACTCTCCCACTCCCTTTTCCCTCTATCCCCTTCATCATCTGACCTTCTTTTTCTCTCACCACCACTCATCCATCACCTTTTCTCACTCCTCTCTCCACTTTTCTCATTTCTCTCCTCTTCTCCCCACTAATCTCTCATCCCCTTCACTCTTTCTCCAGCCACTACCATATTTTTACTCTCTCCTCTCCCAACCTCACTCTCCTTGCTTCTTTTCCCTACTTCTCCCCTCTCCTTCCCCTTAATCTCTCATACCCTTCCCTCTTCACTCATCTCCCACCATCTTTTTCTCTCCTCTCTCTCCACTCACCTTCTTCACCTTTTCCATAACTTTCTCTCTCATTCTTTTACCCTCCTCTCCTCCATTCTTTTTCTTCCCCCAACTACAACCCCATTATCTCCCTCACCTACCACTTCAATCTTTTCTCTTTCCCACCTATTTTTCTCTTTTTTTTTATCACTTTTTCATCCCCTCCCCCCCCACTTCGATTTTTTTTTCTTTTTTTCTTCTTTTCTCTTTCTTTTTTATTTAAATTTTTTCTTTTCCTCCAAAAATCAAAATCATCTTATTCCTACCTCTTTTCTTATTTTTTTATTTATTTTTTATTTATTCTGAAAATTTGAAATTTTATGCGGCACCCTAAAATCTGATTAGGACTTAGCCATTCTTGCTTTCGGTACACATTTTGACCCCGTGGGGGTAACGAAGTGCTGCCGAAATTTTCTGTTTTCTTCATACTTAGTCTTTTTCAGCAGATTTTGACCCCTTGGGGGTAGCGAAGTGCTGACATAATCTTCTTATTTTTCTTTCTTCTTCACGCCACACTTCGACCCCGTGGGAAAAACGAAA